TGGTGGTGGTGGTGGTGGTGGTGGTGGTGATGGTGGTGGTGATGATGGTGGTGGTGGTGGTGGTGGTGGTGGTGAAGGTGGTGAAGGGGCAGTGGCACGGGGTGTGTGGGTGTGTGTGGGCGTGTGTGTGTGTGACCACACACTACCATGCCTGATCAGCTCTGATGGGCTAGAGGGATTCTCTGGTCCTCAGAGTTGAGCAAGAGCTTTATCCACAGAGCCATCCCCTCAGTCCTGTATCTGTTGTCTTACTCTTTAGAATGGCTCATTCTGTTCCATTCCTCAGTAAGGGAAATACTGCCCCACCCCATTTTAACCCCACAAAAGTATTACCTTTCTCAAAAGTTTAGAGTTAGCAAGTTCTCACCGTTATTAATGATTTCTGGCACAATCTTCTGGAAGTCTTTTTCTGATAAGGCAATCCCTATCACAGGTAAAATGGACTGAAGCTCCTCTGGAGAAATACATTGTCTCTGGAGCTTATTGACAGCTGCATGGATACTTTCTAAATACACAAAATGTAAAATGGTTATATGTAGCTAAAGCAATAGTGGCTATCAAAATCCTTTTGTTGTTTTTTAATATGTTCTGAGACAAAATCTCACTATGCATCTTAAACTAGATTCTCACCCTCTGCATAGCCAATCTGGCCTTGAACTCATACATCTACCTTGACCTCCTGAGCAATGGGGTTACAGATATGAACCATCATGCTGGTACCTAAAATCTTGAGTAATGGGGGCAGTCACATGAAACAGAGTCCCTGTTACTCCTGCTAATTTTAGGGAAGTTATTTACGCCGAATGAATGATCTCATTCTTCCTTACATACACAATATGATATGGAAGTGGTGAGTGACATCATTTGATTTAGTAATTCCAGGTGGGTAGACGTCACTGCTTTGTGAAGGCCTCTTCTACCTGTGGACTAACTGCTTAAACTCTGTCATTCTGTAAACCCAGGACTTTCTTACCTAACACCCAGTAACAGCAGCCTAGTAGAAGAGGAACCAGAATATGAATACCCGTCATCTTCCTTCATGGGTCATATTCTTTCCTTAACTGAGTTATTTAAGCTACATGTTAGTGTAGGAATCCTCTCTCTCTCTCTCTCTCTCTCTCTCTGTGTATGTGTGTGTGTGTGTGTGTGTGTGCAGATTGTGGGACTGGATATGGACATGTGTGCATATGAAGGTGGAGGTCAAAGGTCAGCCTTGGGACATATTTTCCAGTTACCATCTGCCAAGTTTCTTGAGACAGGGTTTTTCACTGGCATGGAGATCTCAGTTTAGGTTAAGCTGGTTAGCCAGCAAGCTCCAAAGATCCACCTATCTCTACCCTTTCCTGGGAATTATCACCAAAATCACAGAATCCTATCCACTGGTCTGTGTATAAGTAGTCATGGTGACAGAGGCTAACAACTGACAGGTTAACTATATTCAGGGGAAAAGTGTAAGTGTTCAGTGATTGGCCCATGTCTGCAAAGACTGAAGCACTCCAGAACCTACTCCTAACTGAGACATGGGACACTGACCTAAGGCACTAATGGCAGCTTTTTCCTTAGATGCAATTGGTTTTAGGGTGCTGGGCTGCTCTTTCACAGCTAGCCCCTCAAGTTTTGAGATGGTAGAAGTATCGCTTTTATCCAGCAACTTATCGAGGCTTGTAGTACTCCTCGGGATAGGTGGTTTAGACTTTGGATCTTGAATCTTTAACTTATCGAGGCTTGTGGTACTTCTCGGGATAGGTGGTTTAGACTTTGAATCTTGAATCTTTGGGTATGGTTTCTGAAATCCCACTTGATCACTGTCAACCCCACTTGAGAGTCTTCTTATTTGTAAGGAAGTTTTTGATCGTTTAACTTCGGGTTTGTCGTGTTTCTCCACACTTTTACTATGATGCTGAAGGGGAGGTACATTCAGCTTTTTTGATGTGATAGGTTCAGACAATATGGAAATTGAACTCCCTTTCTTCCTGGGTTGTAGATGATGTCCTGGTATATTTGATAATCTTTTACTTGAAGTGGCTTCATCCATAATTGCTAAGTAAGAGAAATATTTTATTTATTGATTTCATTTATTTGTATGATTCATTCAAAAATTCAAACAAATCAACTAAGTTCTCATAAAGGCCAATCCAGAAATTATGGATTGCTTAAATATACAAAACAAAGTTTAAGGAAGCTGAAAGGGCTGATGATTAAATGGTCAAACTATTAACTAGTACAATCTTACAGATTATTATATTTAAAGACTTTCACTCAAATCTATTTAAAGTTAAATAAAATACTCTGCTGGGGTGCATTGTTCTCTACCTCCAAATTTAGAAAGATACAGGCTAGTAAGGCAATACAATTAAAAATACTCTCATTGTAAGTGTGCAGAACTACAAGTTGCAGAAGGGAAGCATTTGTTAATAAAGCTAAGATCCAAATAATTATTCTCATGAATACTCTCACTGGCTGCAGGCAGAAATAATCTGATATAAAAGTCACAACTCTAGGAAATGAAACGTCTGAAGTTATGACTTCATTTATAAAAATCTACATGATGGTGCTGAAGGAGACTTTGGGTGAAAACACGCTGTAAAGTATTTCAAGAGTTCTAATACTTGATCCTCAACACAACCTGTTGTGGGATATTATAGTGTGTGAAGATGTGTCACTGAGATTGGTTTAGTAAAGAGCAGAATGGTCAGTAGTTAGGCAGGAGAGAATAGGCGGGACTTCAGGGGAGAGAGAGGAACTCAGGGTTAGAATCTAAGTGCACAAGAGATGCCAGAGAGACACTGAGGAAGTCAGACATACAAAATGGAGGAGAGGCATCGAACCAAATGGCAGAATGTAGATTAACAGAAACATGTTAATTTGAGTTATAAGAGCTAGTTGGGAACAAGCCTAAACTAAAGGCCAAGCTTTCATAATTATTAAAAAGTTCTATGTCAGTCAGGTGATGGTGGCGCATGCCTTTAATCCCAGCACTTGGGAGGCAGAGGCAGGCGGATCTCTGTGTGTTTTCGAGGTCAGCCTCGTCTATACGAGTGAGCTCCAGGACAGCTAGAGCTGTTACACAAAGAAACCCTGTCTCAAAAAACCAAAAGTAAACAAACAAAAAAAGCACACTAATATTTGTCTATTAATCAAATACAAGACAATCAGATATAGAAAGCAAATAAAAGAAAACCTGGAATGCACACAGTCCATGAGATACAAGGGAAGCTGGAACACACACAGTCCATGAGACACAAATCAGTTGTAAGTAGTTTTCAGGGGTTTTTTGGCAATGTTGAAGTAGATGCTCATTACATTGGTGTATAAATATGCTATAAGGATAGACGTGTGGGAAGAGTGTGCATGCTGAGGACACAGCAGGAAGTTTACTCTCAAAAATTTTAAAAAATTTTTGAAGTTTGAAAGTTCCCAATACAATGATAAATATTTGAGGAGATGGGAATGCTGATTATCTTGAATCAAAAAGTATGTTCATTCCAAAAATTATCACACTTTCCACATAAGTATGTGTATATACGTCAATTAATCAATTAACAAATTAATGTCAATTAATAAAAAATCAACATGTAATACCAAGTTATAAGGATAAATATCAATTATCACCTCTGGAAAACCTAAGGTGGGAAAAACCGAAGGCAGGACTTCCTCTTTGTAATAAGCTAACCAAACTACAAAATTTTTTATAATTATTGGAATAATCTTGACCAAATTATATTTGAACAAATGAAAGGGAATTTAAAATGTGACATAAAGTGCAGTAAAAGATCAAAAGGCATATACTTAATGGAGCACTATGCCAAATAATCAGGAATGGTAAAGAATTTGTAAGGAACTAGAGTCAGGGAAATACTAGTGCTAAATAATCAGTATTAGGAAGGCATGCTTACAGAATGTTCTGTTTTGGTCTTTCTGATTAGAAGGTTAGGGAAGGAGGCTCAATACTCATTCTAAGAGTTTAAAAAGTTGTGGGCTAGGAGTTAACTTGAATATTGCTTATAAATAAAACTTATAGCCACAAAGGTCCCTTACAGACATCTTCATACTGTTGCTGCAGATCATCCAAAGCAAATATAATGTCCCCAATATCCACCGTGTGGTTGTCTGTAATAGAAAGTAATTTAAAGTACTTCTGTTTACTTTTGAACATACATATAGTTGTCAACCTGAATATAATATGAATATGACTCAGAAGAGTGTGCAGATGGAATCAGAGGAATTACGAGTTTTGAGCACTATCTGAAATTGTTCATTAATATCTAGGTACACAATGAAGTATAAAATTAAGACCACAGTTTTCCCTTTAATAAAAGAGTTTCTTTATCAAAGGAAACAGCCACATTTTAAGTGTCTTTGCTAGAGGATTGAATTAACATTTTATAAATTTTTTTTGAGAATTTACTATAGATATCACTTCAAGTATTTACTCCTTTGTCTCAATTCCTAGACTGTGGACTCAAGAACAGAAAGTATGTATTTCGATTATTCTCCTCAATTCTTAGCAAAATATCTATCTCCTATCACTTAAAAATGATTTTCAATAAACAAAATATACTGAAGGCTGTAAAGAACAGCCCCATGTCAGAGATGCTAGAAGAGCATTACAGCGTCAGTCCCTCTACATAAATCTAATCTAGTTCCTCTACATAAATCTACAGTCCCTCTACATAAATTTAATGTCCCTCTACATAAATCTACAGTCCCGCTACATAAATCTACAGTCCCTCTAAAACGTCAGTCCCTCTACATAACGCATCGTAAGTGGGCAATCCAAACCTTGTTTCCTAAGGTCATTATTTCCCTTAAAATTTCAGCAAAACAGTGGAAAGCCCCATACCACATACTATCAAAAACCAGTACCTACCCAAACGCTGAAGGTTCCTGAGCAGTTTTCACTGTCAGTGCTTGTACTCTGGATGGCTGTGGCTTTGTTTTTGAGATAAGACCTCATGCTATAACCCAAGCTGACTTGGAACTCACTGTGTAGTCCATACTGGGCTTACACCACAGCAACCCACTTGCTTCTGTCTCCCACGTGCTGGGATCACAGATATATGCCACCACACCCAGCTCTCACGGAGTCTTGATCTCACATTAGTATCTGTAGATTATCATCTCTCTGCCTCCAGGAGAGACTATGCACAACCCATAGGCCTTTCTCTGTTAATCAACTTGTTTCAATTATTTGTAATTAAAAACAAAAGCAAAAAAATCAATTATGCTACAGTTTGAAGTTGTGAGGATATTCTCTATCAGTTGCTAGATCCCTACCCCTCCCACTTTTCCATGAGTCTTCATACAGTACTGAGCCACTGCTCTCTACCAAATTTTCTCATTCGGGGAAGTTAAACTTGCCTTTCTGCTCAGTTTAGGTACCTCCTGATTGATTTTAACTCTCATCACCAAACACACCTATTAAGATGAGTTTCACGGGTCCAGGAGGTATGGAACTGGCAGAGTGCTTGTCTAACACCCCTGAGGCCCTGGGTTCAAAGCCCAATACCCCCAACACAAGAGAGTAAAGGTCAGTTAACTCCTATTTATGTTATTTATAAAAGGTTATTATATTTTAAATATTATTTATAAAAAGATTATAAATATATAAGTTATTATAAAATAACTTTTCTATAATAATTATAATTGTTACATAATATGATTATATAATAATTATATTTTGAATAATTATTAATTAAATATGATTTTAAAATTTATAGTTCTTATAATATTTACAATTTAAATATTATAATTAAATAAATGTGATAATTATATTATAATTCTATAATGTAACACCATGACCAAAGCAACGTGGGGAGGAAGGGGTTTACTTGTTTACACTTCCACATCAGTGTTCATCATGGAAGGAAGTCAGGACAGGAACTCAAACATGGAGGGAACCTGGAAGAAGGAGCTGACGCAGAGGCCACGGAGGGGTGCTACTTACTGGCTTGCTCCTCATGGTTTGCTCAGCCTGCTTTCTCATAGAACCCAGGACCACCAGCCCTGGGGTAGCACTACCTACAATGAACCAGGCCTACCCACATCAATTACTAAGAAAATGCCCTACAGGCTTCCCTACAGCCTGATCTTATTTTCTCAATTGATGTTCCCTCTGATGACTCTAGCTTGTGTCAAGATGACATAAAATTAGCTAGCACAGCCTTGAACAGCACCTTAAAGTGTTCTTTATCCCAAGCGCTACTGTTGAATAATCCATGAGGAAGGTAATACGATCAGATCTATGCTTTGAGCAGATCACTCCACCTGTCGTGTAAAGGGATCAAAGCTGGTATGGGTAGACTTGGGAGGTTGAACTGCGATAGTCCAATGAAAAGGTATGTTCATTTGGATTAAGGTAGGGAAGTAATTTTCAGAAATATCTCAGAGTTTAAAATACGAAAACTTCACAATAATAGAGCTGTTGGGGATGATTTTAGTTTTCTGCCTCCACCCCTCTATTCCTAATGACAACCTCTATGATAGATGTTTACAGCCAATTCCTACAACAATCCTTGGGAATCAGTTCCGTCGTTCAATCCACCTCCCCAAATCACATGGGAGACCTAGAGACCTAAAGACTTAGGCAAGAAATCATAAACCAAAACAGAAGTTTCACATAGAACCTGTTGTTCCTAGCAGGGCATACCCAGAAGACTATCAGATAATATGGCTTGAAACTTGTCTTTAAAAATCTCCACTTTCATGAACCTAACACATCTACCATGCAAGGGTTCATCATAAATAATAAGCTACAGCTCTGGGAGGCTGAAGCAGAAGGATTTCCACAGATCCAACGCCAGCGCAGGCTACAAAATGAGTTCTAGGAAGGTCTGAGATAGAGTGAAAGTCTGCTTCAAAGCCAAAAGGAGGTAACAGTTAAGAACACCTGTTACTCTTTCAAAAGACCAAAGTTTAGTTCCCAGCACCCACACAATGACATGCATGTGGTGTGTATGTGTGTGTATGTGTGTATATATATTATTATATATATTATATATATACATTATATATAATGTGTGTATATATATTGCACACACTCACACACACACTCGCATAAATACTAAAAAACTAAACCAAACAAATAACAAACTTTCAGAACTATGCATAGTTTAGTTCTATCTTCCAAGCTCCACAAAATCACCTCTAGAAAATGACAAAAGACAGTGAAGTCCACTTGAAAGGATAGAATATCTAATTTTTTTCTGTCCTATTTATACAAACTGCTATATCAACCTACATTGTCTCTCTTATTCCTCACTATCACTTCGTCCAATTAACCCTACTGATCTTTAGGATTTAGTTTAGACATCACCTTCTCTGATAATCTCTCCCTGGTACTTCCAATGGCAGCCTACAAACATCCCACTACAGGCATTTACCACACAGCATCGCAATTTACACGGTTCTATCCACACTAGAACTGTATTTTAGCCATCTTTACTACATCCATCATTACTCCAGGCACATTAGATATTACATGACTAACTGGCTTGTTGAATGAACAAATCATTTAATCAATCACTAACCAATCTATTATTGTAGGCTATCTTTTGGTCAAATGTTAGCACAATATAGAACCTCTTGTATCTCCTTATAAAATTTTAAATCAAGCTATGCTGTGTAGAGAGAAAATAACCAAAGAGGATAGGGAAGTTTAGTCAACGCTACATAATAAAATTGAGAATTCAAGAATTCTATGTTGCCTCATTTCTGAAGTCAACATTCTTTCTTCCCACTGTAAGAAATGACCCATCTATAAAGACAAGAAATGACCATTGAAGATGAAATTGGGCTGAATGTTTTCAGACTTTAACTTCTAATTTATTGTTATTGTATATGTGCATATACATATATATGCATATATGCATGCATATGTGTCGTATGTGTGTGGTCAAATCAAGTACTCATGATAACAAGGCAAGCACTTCACCAACTGAACTATCTCACCACCCCAATGTTCAGTTGTTTGTTTTTAAGACAGAGCCTCACTAGGTGACTAACCATGCTTGGCCTGGAACTCACAGAAACCAGAATGGCCTCTAACTCATAGAGGTCAGCCTACCTCTGCTTCCCAAGGACTGAGATTCAAAGTGTTATGACACCATGCCGGGCAATGTTGAAGTTTTAAAAATCTATTTTATTCTAACTTTTGGGAAATATACCAAAATAGAATAATTTTAGAATTTTCTCAATTTTTTTCTACACTAATTTTTACTACCAATATCAGTCAGCAGTTGTCGGTACCCGGGTTTTTTCCCCTTTGTTCGAGGTGCTATGCGGGGGGTCTTTTCCTCTGACTTCCTGGCTTCTCTGCTCGCTGCACCGGCCTGAGGGTTTAGCTTAGAGAGAACTTGGCCCTCTTTTGTTGTAGTAATTCCACCTGCAAGCAAGGTTCCCGCCGGCCCTAATACATCTGCCACCACAGCTGCTCTCTGGCCTTGGGCGCCAGACGCCTGACATCCTCTTCCCCTATTCCGGATGGAAGGGGGCTATTGTCCTTCTGCCCCCTAGTATATATGCCCGACTTGTGCTTAATAAAGTTTACTCCTTTGGTGAATGAGCCTGGTCTCTCTGTGTGTCTGTTCAACCCCTAGGATAATTATCCATTCTCGTGGACTTGATGAGGGAAGGCGCACACCTGAATCAGGTGTGGGAATTCACAGAAAAGTGCAGGCAACAAGCAGTACCAGCAGCAAAAGGGAAAATTGAGAAAGAAGACATAGGAGCTGTAATAGGACTGGTAAGCAGAGTTCAGGTAACTCACTGTCCACGTAAGTGTGACTTATCACATCCTTGAGCATCTCGGGGTTTACTGGAATACCCATGCCATCCAAAAAAGCAGTCACTTCATCAATGGCCACATGACCACCCTTCATCTTAGAAAAAGTCTTCAAGATATCTTGAAATTCTGGAGGAACATAAAATGATTCAACTGTGAGAATTAACAGCTTTTCCTGGAAAACAGGAAAAAGTAACCCTAGACTCATAGGTTTCACGGTGACATTTCACACATTCAAAATATGTGAACCATACATAATCACCTGCATTGCCCTTCCTTTGTTCCCCGCCCCACCTGTTCACTCTTACCAACCCCTTCCCTCTTCTCTCTTCAGGTCTTTTGTCCCTACTGTTGAACCAATGAGTTTAATTATGGTTACAGGAGCACAGGCACCTTACCAGTGGCTACACCACTGAGGAAAATGGGGAGAGATCTCTTGGTTTCCAATAATATGCTCCATTGTTTCTGTTTTGTTTTGTGAGATTTTGTTTTTGTTTTTGTTTGTTTTTTAGATTTTATAAGATCTAGGTCCTCTGATTCTCCCTTGTTACTCACTGGTAACTCATTTACCTTGACAATGTATTTGTGGGCATATATATTAATAGTGGTATATAAAAATATTCTAACTGAGTGTAGTGGCAATGTTTGTAATCCCAGTTCTTAGGAGGTAGAGAAAAGACAATCAAGAATTCACAGCCAGCCTCAGCTACATAGCAAACTTAAAGTCAGTCTGGGTAACATGAGATCCTGCCTCAAAATAGAAAAAAAAATCTAAAGTCAAGATTAAATGTGTAATGAGCTAGGAGGGGCTGAAGTTATTTTAGAGGTCAATATGTAGACATATTATATCTAAATTAACATATATACATCCTTATGTATGTTGTTTTAGAGGGAATAAAAGAAATTTGATTACTCTCAAAACATTTTAACTATAAGCATAAAATAAATACAGGAAACCAATAGAGACTTAAATATAAGTGACGATTTAACAGCTATGAAGTCCTTAAGAATCTACACGGAGAAGTTTGTAGTCAGAAAACAGTCAGATGACAAGCAGATAAAGAAGCCCAGAGTTATGGGAATTTGAAAGAAAATCTAAACAGGAAGTAAAGAAAAATCAAAAGGGAAAAGCAAGTATCTTACATATTGCCCATGTGACTGCTGCCCATGTGACTGCTGCCCATGTGACTGCTGCCCATGTGACCGCTGCCCATGTGACTGCTGCACATCCAGCAGGTGCTCAATGATATGTGAGTGAGTAAAAAAAAGTTTTGCTTGCTTTTCTAGGAATGAGATACTACCACACTGATTCTAAAAAAACACAGTCTGATTGACTGCAGGAACACATGATCCCACAGACTGAGCTAAGAAATTGATCTTGCCTAACAAGTAAATGAAAAACACTAACAGTCTCAAATTTTTGGAAGTATTTCTTCTATAACTAATATAAATAGTCCTTCCGAACACTTTATCATTTATTTGTAACATAAAATGAGTAATTAGGAAGTCAGTAAATATCTGAAGTTTTAGGGAGGGATTATATGCAGGTTTGTGATAGAGTGAGGAAAGTATTGTCAATGGAGAAGAAAACGAGCAAACACAAGCACAAAAACACAGACGTGAAAATGAAGTCAACATGAGTATAGGTTGATGACTAACTAGGGAAGTAGAGTCTTGCTGGGAAATATTCTATAGAGATAGTTCAGCAGATAAAGGAGCCTGACAACCTCAGCCTGAACTCAGGAACCCAAGATGAAAGGAGATAATTGGATCCTGAAAGCTGTCCTCTGACCTACACACACACACACACACACACACACACACACACACACACACACACACGAGAGAGAGAGAGAGAGAGAGAGAGAGTCTAAGAGCTAGAAAGATGGCTCAATTGGTCAAAAGCTGTGGCAAAGTATTAGGATCTGAGTTCTAATCCCCAGGAGCTCCATCAGACCAGGCATGATGTCACATGTCTGTAATCTCTACAGTGAGACGGGGAAGAAGACAGGAGACTCACTAAATGCTCACACCCCAGCTAGGCTGGTATACACAGCAGGAAGAACAAAGAGATCCTGTCTCAAATAAGGTAAAAAGCTAGGATCAGCACTCAAGATGCCCTCTGACCTCCATATACACACTGTGATATGTGCACACACACATATACACATGAACATTTGCACATACATACATAAAAATAGAATAATTCATCTAATAGTGATTTAGCAGTTACAGAGAAAACAGAAGTTTGGTGATAGAAAATTATGAAGCTGCAGCAGTAGTCCAGGGGTTGGGATGTTTGTGTATGTGTGCATGTGCGAGCGAGGGATTGAATTAGGTTGCCAGGCTTGAGTAACAAGTGTTTTTACCTGGGAAGCCATCAAAAGACAAAAAAAATTAGGGGCTGAAGATGGTTCTGCAGTTAATAGTGTTTGACACTCTTTCTGAGGACTGGAGTTTGACTCCAGGACCAGACCCTCTTCTGACCTCTGTGGATACCTTTCACACACATGGAATACACACACACACACACACACACACACACACACACACAGAGAGAGAGAGAGAGAGAGAGAGAGAGAGAGACAGAGACAGAGAGAGACAGAGAGAGACAGAGAGAGAGAGAATCTTTATAAAAACTCATGTCTAATTTGCCTAAACTATGAAGTAACAGAAAATGAGATTCTAAGACATAGGTTCGTCTATCTAGCCCCACATTAAAAACAGTTGCTAAAAATAAATAAATAAAGCCAGTTGCTATCAAACCATTCTATTTTATACTTCTGATATTATTTTTACCTGGATCTTGAGAGGTCAAATGAGAAGCACTATTCCTGGCCTTCAGGAAATCTGTGAAGTCCAGCATTCCATTAACTATAAAGATGGTTCAGAAACAAGGAGGAAAAAGTCCATCAGTAAACCCATTAAGTTGAAAATGTAAACTGAAAATGTAAGTGTAATTAACTGATATCAGAATATCATCGCTTGTACACAAAAGCAGTCACTCTTTTACATTGTGTGGAGAACAGAGAGAGAGAGAACTTACCAGGAAAAACTTTGAATGCCATATTAATGAACAGCATTTCAGTAATATTACAAATACTACAGACTAAAATCGTCAGTACTTTCCTGCTCTTTATGCATGATTCCATCAAACTTATATTTGTAATTGTGTGTGTGTGTGTGTGTGTGTGTGTGTGTGAGTGTGTGTATGTGTGACTGTGGGGGTGGGAAGGGTACCTGCATGTGAGTGTGAGTTCCTGTAGAGACCAGAAGAGGGCGTCAGACCTCACAGAGCAGAAGTTATTGATGGTTATGAGCCATCCAACATGGAGGTTGGGAACCAAACCCTAACCCTTCACAGGAACAGCAAACATTCTTAACTACTGAGTCATCTTTCTAGCACCACAAAATCAATCTCTCTCTCTCTCTCTCTCTCTCTCTCTCTCTCTCTCTCTCTCTCTGTCACACACACACACACACACACACACACACACACACATACTTTAGCTTTGCACTACATATTCAGAAATGAAAGAAAAACAAAGGGACCTCAAACATAAGTGTGTTTTTCTTCAACATTTTTACCTTGTTTGGACTTTCAAGACAGGGTCTTGGGAAGTCCTAGCTAGCCTAGAACTCATTATGTAGCCAAGGATAACCTCAAACTCACGATTCTTCTGCTTTGACCATCCAAGCACTTGGGAATAAAGGTGTTTCCCACCACACAAGGCTTCTCTGACTTTTTTCATTTTCTTTTTTTTTCCCCTCCCTCTCTGACATCACTCAATGTAAGTTAGGCAAAAGTAAATGATAAATATTTATAATCACAGAGATATGGTGTGCTTTTCTTAACTCCTAAAAATTGTCAACTGTATAACTAGGCATAAAATATTGACATAATGATGTACACACTACCTGACTAAAAACTCTAGTAACCTTTCCCATCCTATACTTTCTCAAGTAAAATCACAACCTTCAAAACATAATTTGACATAAACTATTGCCCCACAGTCAGTTTTGAAAATTATAATGAAAAGTTATCCACATCACCAGGCAGTGATGGTGTAACTTTTAATCCAAGGTTATAAAGTTACAGGAGAGAGACCGTGACCTGAGGGTGGGGTGGACAGTACCCGGTGAGATAAGTTTTGAGACATAGGTCTATTGTTAGACTGGCAAGTGAAGAACTGGAATGTTTTTCTTAAGGTGCTTTGTGTAGCAACCTAGTTAGACATCTGCACCTCTGACCTTGTGCATTTCTGTAAGATTTCAAACTTATGCTCTATTTACAAAAAGCCTTTAGTCTAGCTTGAACTTGCTTTGAGATGAAAGCAAGATAACTGTGTGCAGTTAATCTGAGCAAAAGAACAAGGCAGGCTTTTAAGAGTCCACATTCCTTGTGGGACAAATAGATCTAGTTATAAAGAATGTTCCAGCATAGATTCTATATATCAAAATTATATAACTAAGTGAAAAGTTATCTTCCTGATCACCCACAGATATATGTGCCCATAAGACTGAGATGCTATCATGAGATTACATATACACATTACATGAAAATGCATGGTAATGAGGAGTTATCATAACTGTTATTGCACAAGTGAAACTACAAATGAAAGTAGCTGTTTTCAGAGTCAGTGATCTACAAGCTTTGCTGACAGGGTACCCATCAGGGAATACTTCCTCTGGTTGGCTGACATCTGAATTATCAACTGCTATAAGCTGTAATTGTGCCGTGGCCTGCAATAGCTTGTGACAACCGCTCCTGACAGACATGTAGCCGGCACATTTCTGGGATAAGCACGCCAACACCAATGAGACTGAAACAAGGTTATGTCACCGGTGTCACTGGTGGACCAAGGCCTTTCAGGACCCACCACTTTCATTATGCCAGGGTGCTTATTCCAGAATGATTCCGGCACCAGAAAGACAAAATTTGATGTGTTCACACAGGATAATAGCATACAAATGATTAATCAAACAAGAGGTAGCACATAAAAATACAAAAGGAATCTTGTTTGTATATTAATATAAAACTAAAGATTTTATATATTTATATAAAACAAACTTTGTAAAACAATTAAATAAATGCAATTTTTAAATATTTTAGAAAACATATACCCAAAACAATGAAAATATACAAAAGGGAATAAAGAGCATACAACTCAGGACATCACTTTCCTCAAACTGAACAAACCAAAAAATGGGTCATTTCATGAATTTTATGGATAGATGCAAATTACTGTCAAGGTCTTAGATTTCATCTGGAGAGACTAAGTCAGATACTGATTTCATTATTAAGATAACATAACTACTAAAATCTAAATAAAAACAGCTCACTCATAGTCCAATGATGAGACTGTCTCATACTCCAATGTAGTAATCAATCCAATTACAATCACCTGGAGTATAGCTTTTTAATATCATTGTAAATACTGTTTTTAAAACATAATAAAAACTATATATTGTAAATAGCTGACATTTAGCTTTGCCATCATCTGTAATTAGTCAGCTAAACAGAGCTTACATTCATGTGTGCACGACGCTGAAGAGAAAACTCACCATCAATGTCAGTGGCCTTCAGCACCTGTCGCATTTCGGAGTCATTCATAGGAATCTTCAGGATGTGGAGGATCATTGGCAAATCATTCACATAGATCTTACCCTGGTGAACTTTACTAAAAATTACGCAAGCTTTAGGAAGTGCTGCATGGGCATGAGGAAGTTTAATTAAAATTATTACCTATCCTGATTAGTATTACCCACACTCTCACCAGAGAAAACAGTAATAATCACTAAACTGAGAAAGAGGACGACACTTTTATTTACTCAGATTGTCCCTTTAAACTCTAACTTGTGACTTGGGTGTGTCTAGATCACTGAACTTGTCCTCTCTGCTCCTGGAGGACTCAGGATATAGCACAACCAAAATGTTCTATGTTCTTACTGCTTCTAGAAGGCACGACAGCTACTTTATTTTTCCCAGTCCTACTTCACAGCTGCTCCTCTCCCTCAAAACATGTCTGCTGAACTGAATTATATTTAGTTTAATGAAACAAGTATTTTTAAAAAAAATATTCAATAGCCAGGAAAGCTGAGGCAGGATAAACAAAGTTCTGAACCTGCCTGAAGTGCATAGTGAGTTCCAGGTCTAAATGGGGTGGGAAGGAGGAGGATAGGCCAGGAAAGAAGGAGGGAGGGAGGGAGAGAAAGAGGGAGGGAAGGAAAGAGAGGAAGGGAGAGAGAGAAGGAGGGAAGAGGGAAGGAAAGAGGGAGGAAGAGAGGGAGGGAGAGGAAGAAAGGAAAATAAACTGAAAAATAGTAACATTAGAATGCTAATAAAAGGTTTGTAGAGGGATGGAGCTAGATGACAGATTTCAGTGAAATGGGAAGCGAAAACGAAGGGATGCTAGTGAAAGAAACTATTTTAAAAAGTTTCTCTGGACTGGAGAGGAGACTCAGTAGTCATCCAGGTGACTAAGGTTTGATTCCCAGCACCCACATGGCAGCTCACAACTGTCTGTGACTCCAGTTCCCAGGACATCTGATGCCCCTTCTGACCTCCATGAGCACTGCACATACATGGTGTAAAACATACTTGCAGGCAAAACACTTATACACATTAAGAGAGAAGATGCATGGGGAGAAGGAGGAGGAGAAAGAATGAGGACGGGGAGGAGAAACTTCTAATACAGAACATAGCTATACTTAGTGATGGCCTTTAATCTCAGCACTCGAGAGGCAGAGGGATCTCTATGAATTCCAGGCCAGACTGGTCTACATAGTAAATTCCAAGCCAGCTAGGTCACTGTATGACCCTGTCTCAAAACAAAACATATACATATAAAATCATATATGTGTATATAAGTATTTTATGTGCATATATATATGACCCTGTAGAAGCAGAGATGTATAAATATAAATGAAATGCAAACGGATTCATCTGCTAAAAGGGGGCCGTTTCCAGACAGATAAAGGGAGAATGTGAAGGGGATTTGTAACTAAGAATGTGGGTAGGAAAAGCAAGATGTTTAGTAAAATTCTTTCCAATAACTTTTATTACCTGTCTATAAAGAAATAAACCTATTTGATCTAGCAATCTCACTTCTGGGTTTGTTTTTAATAAAATCAGATAAACCGGGAATGATGATGTATAGCTACAATCCCACCACTTGGAAGGTGCTGGTAGGAAAGTCAGAAGTTCAAAGCCATCCTCCGCCTCATTGTGAGTTTGAGGTCAGCCTGAGCTACAAGAAGCCATCTCCAAGTATATATATAAGATAGCACTTTCACATCTGTGATCAGCAGTATTCATAGTTGCCAACACATAGAACAAACTACATAGGCCACAGCCATCAAAAATCTTTAAGCATGGTACATACACATAGAATATCATTCACTTAGCCTTCTATAAGAAATAGTTATTATAATACGTGGTGGCTGGAACAAGCTGGAAGATGTATGTTTAGTGAAATAAGCCAAGCACACGGCAGATCATTCTACTTACACTAGTTATCTAAAGAGTCCAGCATAAGAAACAAAGACTGTAATTGTGGCTGTTGAGGACTGAGGGAGAGGAAAGAGGGTCACTCACCCATGGATATAAGATTGCAATCGCATATAATAAACTTTAGAGATTTGTACAATATTATACACGTAAATAACAATACTGCACTGTACATTTAAAAGTATGTGAAGGAGGTAATTCTCATGTTAAATGTTCTTGATATTTAGAAAAGACATGGGCTTTAAAATGTTTACCTTCATAGATTGTAGATAAGCACATTGTGTGAGTGTGCATGTGCAAGTGTGAAGAGGTCAGAGGTCAACCTCGGTGCCATCCTTCATGAGTCTTCTGCCTGTCTCCTGAGACAAGGTCTCTCAATGGGACCTGAGGCTTGCCAACTGGGCTAGGGTGCCTGGCCAGGGAGCTCCAGGGATCTGCCTGTCTCTGCCATCCAAGGGCTGGAATTAAGGGTACACCTCCATACCCAGGCTTTTTAATGTAAATGATGGAATTGGCTCACTTCCTCGTGCTAGCATGGCAAGCACCTTATCAGCTGAGCTCTCGGAGCGAATTGTAGCCCTAAGACAGAAGTAAATCTTAACTAATTCTTTTTTTTTTTTTTTTTTGTCTCTTTAATGCAGCTAAAAGAATAGGTGATAGGGACCGGAGAGATGGTTCAGAGGTTAAGAACACTGGCTGCTCTTCTAGAGGTCGTGAGTTCAATTCCCAGCAACCACATGGGAGCTCAAAACCACCTATAATGGGATCTGATGCCCTCTTCTGGTGTAAGGGTGTACATGCAGATGGAGCACTCAAACACAAAATAAATGAATAAATCTTAAAAAAAAAAAAAAGAATAGGTTATAGGACTGAGAATTTGAGGGAAACAGTGAAAGCGTGGACGAGACCTCAAAGGAAATACAGGAAAATCTGGTCAAAGGTTAAAGGAAGCCAAGTGTGCAGAAGAGTGGCCGGTCTGGGTCCAGCAGAGTCTTCACAGAAAAAGAGGGAGGGAGGGGAGAGGATGGAGGTGGAGAGGAGGAGGGGGAGGATAGATGGAGTGGGGAGGGGGGAAATAGGGAGAAGAGGGGGGAAGGGTAGAGGGAGCGAGAGGGTACAATTTCTAGAATTTCTTATTACCACTTAATTCTTGGTATTTTGAGTATCCTTCATGTACTTGTTCATATAATGTCAGGTAGAGGTTAGAAGTTGTCTCCTTCCTCCTGTCAGAGAAAGGCCATATTAGAAAGCAGCAAAGGACATTCATTAAAAAAAAAAAAAACCATAGAAAACTATCAGCAAACCTATAAATATCTTGAATTTTATTTTTTCCTGTTTTTATTTTGGTGTTGAAACACAGTCTCACCAAGTGGCCAGGCTACCCTTGAACTCTTGATAATCCTCCTGCCTTAACCTCACAGGTGCTGGGACTATGGCCCAATGCTACCTCTCAACCCAGAGTAGCTTTGTTAAATAGCTCCAGGCAATAAGAGTTGCTTTTATCACCCCGAATCCTCCCCTTGCTCCTTCCAAAGTCTCTACAGGGAGCAGAACCCAACCTTGTCAACAGACAGATTCACTAGCTGCTGGCTCTGGTTGCAGTTCTTCCTGTTCTTAATACAAATCATAGTGATTCTTCAAAGAAAGGTATTTATATGACAAATAAGAGCTCTTTAAACAGCAAAAATAAAATAAAGAAATCCCAGACTCCATCATCAGCTATGAACAGTCTGGAGAGAAGGACTCGGCTGATAGGACGCGAAGTGTAAACAACTAAAGCCACAGTTAGCCGGCTGGCAGGGGTCTTAAAAGTCCACAGACTCCTGTACACAAGTGGAAAGGGAGGGGCTGAACAGACGGCTCGGTGGTTAAGAGCACCTGCTGCCCTTCCAGAAAACCCGTCTGGTTTCCAGCACCCCTACCTGGTGGCTCACAGTCACCTGTAGCTCTCCCTTCTGGCCCCCACAGGCGTTCACACACATGTGCACAAACACACACATGGAGCCAGTTCACACCTTTAATTCCAGCACTCAGGAGGCAGAGGCAAGAGGATCTCTGAGTTTGAGGCCAGCCTGGTCTACAAAGGGTAGCCAGAACGCTTCATAAGACCCTCTCTTTAAAAATGTAGAAAGTAGGGCTGGAGAGATGGCTCCGAGGTTAAGAGCACTGGTTGTTCTTCCAGAGGTTGTAAGTTCAATTCCCAGCAACCTCATGGTGGCTCACAACTATATGTATTGAGATCTGGTGCCCTCTTCTGGCCTGCAGGCATACATGCATACAGAACACTATATATAATAAATAAATATATCTTTTTAAAAAAAAAAAAAAAGCAGAAAGTAAGGCCCAAGATGCAATGTAAAATTTACAAGCAATAGGGTGTGAGACCAATCAGTATACAATCTAAGTCCTCCAATCCCACATGCTCTTACTTCTGCCTGAGCCTAAGGTCACAGTCTTTCATTTAAACAAATTAATGGCAGTCTGTATACAGAAAAGATGCATGATTGCAGAGAAAAGTTTTAAATTCAAGCCCCTCATTTGAAAATCAGACTACAATGATTTGAATACCGAGGAGTTGAGGAAGATAAACGAGGGTATAGTGAAGTCTTGTGGCTACCAAACTGGCATGGCAACTTGTACAAAGTGCTTTCTTTCCCAATCGTCTTCTCCTTTGCCACCTTCAGAGACGGAGAGGCGATCTAAAGCCGAAAGCAAGTATGTCAGTCATGAGATCATCCTGGTCACCCAGCATCCTTCAACAACAGCCTCTTGGAAGACAGCCATACCCAGCATCTCACTTACTCACATTCCCAGTAGAAACCTTGACATTCACATTACATTTCATATGCACTCAAAACTTTTTTAAACTATATAATATTCTTTGTAAACACCAGTTTTCTTAAGTTTATAACTAATTACCTTCTAATTAACATTTTTAATTAATAGATTAAATATTTTATGGAACAGGGGAAACCTATGGCAAAGTAAGACGTTGGCTCATCTACCAGGTTAGGCTCCTGTACAGACTTTAGTTATACATGAAAAATCCTGTGGGGAGCCACTGGTTATTCCAATGATAGAAGTAATTTTATTTCAGGGTATCCTTATGGTTGAATAAATTAACCACTTGACTGCAGCATGTATAAAGAAGATTCAAAAAAGACAACTGACTAGATGGATAGAAAAATATCACTTCAGAAAATGAGGACCCATTATACGTGTTTTCAATTTTACATGGATCTTAGAGCTTTGAAGACTATGCAGAGAAGACTCAGGCCCCAGGAGACTGATGACAGCTGGTACTGAAGTTCCATGTAAGCTAATGTTCTCAAAAGTAATGTTCTCTCTAAGAACCAGACTGGGAAAACAGCCACAATAACAAAACTTAACCCCAGTGGAGGAGTACACAGAATAAAGTCTTTGTCTCAACTCTAAGCTAGAGGGGAAAAGGAAAGAAAAACCCCTCCTCATATTGGTTACGACCAATTTCTAGGCATGTATAAATATATAATTCAAATGCATAAGCCAAGAAAACCAGAGCATTTAGATTCCAAATTTGTAAAATTTGTGCAATGCAAGGCAAAAATGAGCACAAATTCTCTCTCCAAAAAAAAAGAAGAAGAAGAAGAAGAGGAAGAAGAAGAAGAAGTTAAAAAAAAGAAAGAAAGAAAAGAAAGGCTCTTCTGTAGTCAGATATGAGGGTGCTGCAAGCCTGTAATCATGGCACTCGGGAGACAGATGCAGGAGGATCAAAAAGCTTCAAGGTCCTCCTTGTCTATACGGAAGGTTCCAGGGTAGCCAGAGCTACCTCATTAGACCCTATCTTCAAAAATATATATCTTGGAGAAGTAGAAAATCATGAGTTTCTCAACAATATGGATCTACTACATGTGAATGAAAGGATACAGGCTCACATGAGGGAGGGAGAACTGTGGCTGGAATGTAAAATGAAATAGATAAATTAGTAAATAATAAGGGAAAGAAAGACTGCAATCCAGATGCAGGGAAGACCATGCGAAGGTCACGTGAAGACAACATGAGGGCCATATAAAGATCATGTGAGGGTCATGTGAAGATCATGCGAAGGTCACGTGAAGACCACATGAGGGCCATGTAAAGATCATGTGAGGGCCACGTGAAGACCATGTGAAGGTCATATGAAGACCATGTGAAGACCATATGAGAGCCATATGAGGACCATGTGAAGATTGTGTGAGGGCCATGTGAAGGCCACATGAAGGCCATGTGAAGACCATGTGAAGGCCATGTGGAAGCCATGTGAAGACCATGCAAAGACCACACGAAGGCCATATGAAGACCATGTGAAGGCTATGTGAAGACCATGTGAGGGCCATGTGAAGGACATGTGAAGACCATGTGAGGGCCATGTGAAGACCATGTGAAGGCCGTGTAAAGACCATGTGAGGGCCATGTGAAGGACATGTGAAGGCCATGTGAACACCATGTGAGGGCCATGTGAGGACCATGTGAAGATGACGACAAATGTTGGAGATGCATACCACCAACCAAGGAACACCAGGGTCAGAATGAAAACTAAAAAAATAGGAACACACAACACACACAAAATAGTTTAATTTAATAGGGAAAAGTAAATCTAGTTTTCTGAAAGGATGCAATGCCTTATTTTTACAAAGAAAGGAGAAGGAGAAGAAAGTCAGATATGGTGGTGCACACGTGTAGTCCCGGCAGCTGCTTAAGGAACTAAGGCAGCAAAACCACTGGAGCCCAAGATTTGAGTTTGTGTGGACAACACAGTGAGAAGCCATCCAAAACAACAAAACAAACAAGCAAACAAACAAAAAGCAGAAATAAAGGGGTGATATCTTAGTTTCCTTCCTATTGCTATGATGACATACTCTGAAAGAGCAACT